ACAACTATAACTTCTTTTTCCTTTTTCATATCTATCTTTAAAATAAGAATGCAACTTATATTCTGAAAAATATGGTGTATTAGTGTGATCCATGAAAATACAACATTAAATAAAATAAGCTAAGCAAAAGTCGTAGAGAATAAAAAAAATAAAGGAAGAGTATAAATTATGAGAAAGGAGCAAGAGTCCCGAGATGTGCTTCCACTTAATAATACTTTACAAGTTTACAGTGATCACGAGTTAACAATCTTCAAAAGAAGTGTTAGTAATAGCATTTTTGGGATTTGTAACTTGTTCTTTGTAAATTAAAAGACCCTATAAAATTGCAAAATGTAGCATCAAGTGACCAATTAATATTCTATTCAATTGTGCGTGTGTGAAACTGACAGTCGAGTATATAACATACAAAAGAAAACAAGCAATTAAAAACAGAATTTTCTATTTAAAATAAGCTGGCAAAGATTTCACCGGAAAGAAAGCTGGCAGTTTTTTAAACGTTTACCTATGAGATCAGATTTTTTTTAAAAAAATGACATGTTTTATGCTTAAGGTTGCTTCGAACAAGACACAATTAGTTGCGGTTGAAAAAAAGAGGGGGATCACATTTCAACTTCCTACAAGTGAAAAGGATATTCTTTTTTTATTGGGTGGTAGTGGTGGTCGGGGGAGGCTTTTAAAATAAAAAAAATTGTTTTATCGCGATTTATATTGAGAAATGTTCCATTTTAATTTTTAAAACTTTTTCGTCGCATTTCATTTTTAAACTAAAGCGTAAATTTCTATAGTTGAATTTGAATCAGGTCAAAAAGATTTTCTCTGTTTGTCAACAGGGACAAGGAGGTCAAACTAGGCAACAAATCATTCAGATGAGCTGATTTGAGATGGACAAAGTGTTTTTTTTAGTTGTTTTACTACGAAATTATGTCCAAGTTATTTTTTTTAAATGTTTTTTTTTTTTATGAGACCTCAACAACTCAACATTAACAATAATAATGGACTCTAATGAATTAAAAAATATATTGAAATAAAACGTCTTTTTTGAAGAAACCCATCATTAATTTTTTTTAAAAAGAATGACAGCTTTTGAAAAGTAAAGTAAAGTATAAAATTAAAAAGTGTCATTTTTATAATAAATAAATTGAATATTTAAGATATAGCCTATGAATAGGATTTTATTTTTTTATTATGTGATGACCGTTCAAGGAGGTGAAAAAGCATGGTTCTGAGCCATACAAAAAAAGATGTTTTGCAGAATTATATAAATTCAATCAATAATAAGGGGAACATTCTGGAAGCTTAGTAATAAAATTTAGTGCCTAACTATCGTAAAAATACTATTTTTTTTTTTTTAGAGAGACTGTTTTACTTTTTAAGCAGTAGACAAATTTTCCCGCTCAAATCCCCAGTCATTTAGAATCGTGTACTTGTAAAAAAAAAAAAAAAAAAGTCATCAGTATTGTCACGTGTGACAATGACAAAAATTTGTAAATTTGTTAGATATGAAAAAACTAAAAGAAAAAAATATTTATGCTATTATTGTGAAAAGAAACGAGCCCTGAAAAAAAAAAAAAAAAGGAACGAACGAACATTTTTGTTATGTTGGTACAATGGTTGGTGTACTGTACACAAGCTTTTTCGACCGTGAGTTCGATCCAGATTTGGGAAATGATTCAAATAAATAATTTAATATTTTCATGAATAAATGATAAACATAAAAAAAAAATAGTTAAAGAGTTTTAGAGTGTTAAAATTACGGAAGAATGTTAAATTGTGTTTATAGTCACTTTTTAAAGTAAGTAAAAAGCGAAACAAAAGAAAACTGTCTGTTGTACTTGTACAATACATCATATGCACACACACGCATAAATTCTCATCAAAATTTGTCCGATTTGTTGCTGTCAAAAGTTCATTCAAAAAACCTATTCATGGTCTGGTGCTATAATGAAAAATGAAGTGATCTGAAAATTAACATAATAAATCAAACTGAAATTATTTTATTTTTACTTGAAACTCGAAGAGTTCACAGTGTCACCCATTAAAAACGATTGGGGGGGTCGTAACTTTAGAGAGCGTGTAGGGAGGAAAAAAGGTTAAAGAATTATTGATATTTTCATTTAGAGTAGGTAATAATTTTAAAGTAATGTTAATTAATTATATCTTAAAATAGAACCCATTTAATTTATTTGTATCTACGAAATTTGAAATACCAAACATTTTAATTGCTTCAATTATTAAAATAACTTATTTTTTCTGACCATGTTGATGGGGGTTCTAAAATATGAACACAACGAGATGATTTTTCTAATTAATTATTTCAATTTAAGCCAATAAATCCAAGATAATACGTCCCACACGACGGAAGGCAGTTTGAAATGAACTTAGGCTGATGGAATTAAAAATAAAAATTATTACTTGAGTGAGAGTTAATTCTATGAAAAATAACCAGGGATTTGGCGACTAAGCCCCTCAATAAGTATAAATAAAATTAAATAAAAAAAAGAAAGTGGTATGACAAAGCACATTACTCCCCCAAAACAAAAACTTTTTTTTTCAAACTTCAGCAAACAAACATCTTTTAGATCTCTCTTTAAATCGCTTCCCTCAATCCCAAGGAAAGAGATTCTGGTCACGGGGGCTCAAAAAAAAGAAAAAAAAAAAAGAAAAAAAGGCTTTTGCTAAAATTTAAATTCCTCTAACTTTCATTTATTTTAATTAATTAAATTAACGAAAAAAAAAAAAAACTATTTTCCTTGCGATTATTATTTTAATTATTTTTCTTGCAACATTTTAAGTCCATTATTAAATTATTAATCAATAGATTTATTTTTCTTTTAAAATAATTCGATTAATTTTAGGGGGAAATATTTTTCTCGTATATTTTTTTGTGACATTTAACTTTTCAAAATCGTAGATAAAAAGCGATTGTTTTTATTATGAAAAAAATATCTCTTTTTAAAGGCACTTCCCCCCCCCTCTGTTTAACAATAAATAAAAATAAAATGCAGTGATCTCGCACATATCATATTTCCTTTTCCTGTAACACTTAGAAAGAGTAGGGCCGTCAAAACTTTTTGAAAATGCATTGTTATATGAGTGATGAAAAAAAATTACACATGCAATAAGTCCGTTAAGTTTCAAAAATCCCTAACGCACCTTAAGGCTTTACTGTCCAGGCCAGGTGTGTGTAATCGATAAATGGTATTTTTATGAATTAACTCAGCTTGAACTGAAAGAATAGATGAAATTATTACTGATTTAAGATATAATACATTTAATTTTATTTTAATATGTTATTTATTTCTTAAAACTACAAATTAAATAACTGCCTTTGGTGGCTGATTTTTTTTTTTATTTTTAACCCTAAGTCAGTTTATTTCAGCTCATATTTCTGATATTGGCGCGTCAAAGTAAAGTAAACTGATCATTGTTTTTGATTATTACAGCAAAAAGAGAAGGGTTTTGATGCTACTATCAAATCATAAATGGAATTTATTTTTAATGTTTGTCAATTATTTGTTTCAAGTTCCGTTCCTACTCACATATTTGGTCTGCATAGCGACGGCCATATTCGAAAGGAGAGGAGAGCTGCCACACCACACATGGAAACTATCTGACATCTTTAGCACCTGGAAGTGCACGGTTGTGTCCAGAAATTTGTCTGAAAATTGGTGAATGCCTATAGAACATTCAGCACCTGGATCTGAATGCATGCTAGACATATTATCAGAGAAAACCGCCAAAGAAAATCGATATTTGCAAGTCTTTCTGATTTGTCTACGTGATGGCGGAAAATAAAGGCTAGAGATCGGTTGGCTACTTATGATTACGGATGTCGATAAGAGCAGTAAATTTTGCTGTTTCGCAATCTTTCACTTATTTACGAAGATTAAAATAAATCTGTATAATTTTTTAAATGTAATTTTGACTTTGTTAATTATAGAAAAAAAGTAGAAACAACACACATTAAAAATTATATTCGCTCGTAAAGTGGACCAAGCAACTAATGAAATGTAGCAGAATTATGCTAATAATTCGGAATAAATCGATTTCATGTTGAAGTTCAGTGAATTGCGATGTTAATTTTTAAAGAGTTATGAAAATCTAATAATTTTCTAAAATTTTGGATTAGTTTAGAAAAAACATTTTATTTTTAAGATTCAAAACAAAACTCTCTTCAGAAGGTTGTCCATTTTGTTTTTGTTTGACGCACAGAAACAGATTGATTGAAAGTTGTTGTGACTAATAACGGCATTGTTGAATATTTGCAAATTCTAACATCGATCTCATTTTTTTTTTTTTTACAAAACTAAAAGTAATTATGGTCAATCGAAATTCATTAACCAAAACATGACTGAATAAGTAAATAAAATGAGTTGTTTATGCTCCATTTAGTTATTGCTGCTAACGACAACCTTGTCACCATGGTAGTGGTGGGTAAGTTAAAGTGACAAGCACCTTTTATGATGTGCCCAACATCATAAAAGAACAATAATAGAAACAACAAATAATGTTGCCACGACCAATACTAAATGTTGTAATTCATTGTAGTTTCATATATTTAAAAGAAGCAGCTTTTAAACAGGCCGAGGTGAAACCGTGCCAACTGTTGTCATGGACACGCCAATATAGTCTCTTAGCCCACTGCTGCCTAACTACCGTCATGACGTCATTGGTGATTGACCAATCATTGAACTGCATTGAATGCGGTTGTCAAGGTAGCCAAAAAAAATAGCAAGGCTGATTCGGTGAGGCGGTCGGAGTATAAATACCGGCGTCACTGCGTTCCTAGCTAAGAAGCGCATCGAGTGAGCGTCGGTTAATTCAGATTACCGTCGGGGGATATATTTAGGCTTGTGTAAATATATACTTACAAATATATATATATTTTGTTATAAATATATATATATATACACACATCTATCTATTTAGATCACCTTAACTGATCTAAGTAAAAAGAAAAAAAATCGTCGTTACATTTTTATCACAAAACAGATATAAAAATGAGGGAAATTGTTCACGTACAAGCTGGACAGTGTGGCAACCAAATTGGTGCTAAGGTAACTATACGTTTTGATTTCGATCTTGAAATTGTCAAAATTATGATTGTATATTTGGTTTTAGTAATTTTATATTTGTTAAATAAAGATTTAAGTAGAGAAGTCAATTTCTATTAGTTGTATTTGTGCGAAAAACCCCTTCGATTTTTCATTAATCGAGCATATAATTTCAAAATGCCGTGTCGATTAAAACAGAAAAATGACATTCGTTTCTGTTATCGTGTATTTTTCTACTTTATATGTATCTTGTCTTTAAAATCCAACTGTCTTCAAGTGGTTGTAACTGTTTTTTTTTTGTTTTTTTTTTAATAGCTAAAATCAAGCATTCCCATACTTGAATGATTTTTTTTTTTCATCCTTTAAGCAAAGATTTCTAATTGTTATCAATCCCACTTCTGAAACCACTGAAGAGCTGGTTATTTATTGACCAGAAGGTGGGGGATCGGTTTTCCGTTGATCGTGTCTTATAATTTCTTTTCAACCACTCATCTAGTTGAAATTTGAATAGATAATTTATTCTGCTTATTAGAGTGAATGTCTCACCTTTATTTTCCTTTCATTCTACAATCTTTGAATGATTTGGGACTTCTTGTTTTTCTTCATAAAATAAAATTTTTTTTTTTTTTTTTTTTTTTTTGTTGAAATAGCTCTTATATTTTATATCGTCTTATGGCCTTGAGCGAGAATTTACTTTTTTATGCTTTTGGCATTTATTGCTTTTGATGTTAAAATATGATCGGATGTTTCATATTTCTCTGTTCATGTATAATTTTCTACCTTTCTCCTTTCTTTTATTTTATTTATCGTGTAGTTTGCGATTTAAAAATCAAAATCGTCGTACGGCTACTGCATTGCTGTCTGCTGTCGTCATACTGCGGCAAAAGTTGGAAGTCTTGCACTTGTATTTTTATTATTTAAATAGCAACCACCACCGCCACTGATAAATAATAACGATCTTTTCTTTAAATATATTTCCTTTGTTTCTTTTTTTCGAGGCCTTTTCCGTTTATGGACACTTAATTTAATCCTTCAATGTGATTTAAAAAAATTAACAATCTCTGTCCACCGTTTGGAGAAGAGGAGGGGGTAGTTATCCATTTTCATCTTTCTTCCTGCGTCTCATCATAAAATGAAAATCCGGATAAATAAAGACTTAATTTGATCCATTTTTTATTTATTTATTGTGAGCAGATTTCTCTTTAATTAATAATCTGCTTATTGTTGGCTATCCTCCTCATTCCCTTCACCTATCAGACTAAAGGACTAGCAAAAAAACAAACAACAAAAAGAAATAAATAAACAAAAAAAACGAATAAAGCTCTTATTTTCATTTTGAAATAACTTTTTTATTATTGTAAAACATTGTAGTGTACGTGCCTCATTGATTGTAATAAGTGGTTGTTGGTTCTTTTTCTCCCTTACCTGTGAACCATTTCGTTTCGAATGAGTCATGTCTCCATTTTTTATTCTTATTTTTTTCTTGGCATTAAAAACTAAATATTTTTACTTGATATGCAGCATTTGACTTTTTCACAAATGAACATCTTCAGCTGATAAAATGCACAAAAGAATCGATAGCATGTCATTAGCTAGAGATGCATCTCTAGGTTTTCTGTTCTGGGTGTCATTGCCATCCATCGAAACCAGTGTTTTTAATTTTCCTTAAAAATCTGGGACAAGATTAAGAGAAAACAATGATTTTTTTTTTTTTTCTTTTTATATGTAAGAAATTACCATTCAAAAGTAAAGGAATTTTGTAACGGTCAACGTGAAATAAATTTATGAAAAATGAACGCAATTATTTAAATTCTTTTGACGTTGAATAAAAAAAAAATCGAATTTCTAAATTACAAGTTTTTATCTTGCAATGATAACGCTTTTTTGAAAATAATTAAATTTTCAGTTAGCAAAGAATTTTTTTAATTTAATTTCACTTTTTTTGTAAAATTGAATTAGCTTTCTAATTAACACTTGCTTTTAGAATTATTATTAGAAAGATTTTATTTCTCTCTTCGACATGTGACTCATTGTTAAAAATAAATCTTTTTATTTTTAGAACCGTTTTAAAACCATTTGTAACTTAGAATTTCACCTCGGCTATAAATGACTGAAGGTCGTTGGTGTTCAGCGATGTATATCGTGTGTACGTTTTGTATATTATTGCTGTACCCTACTTGTGCAAATAGAATTTTTTATATATATATGTATGTGTGTGTGTGTGTGTGTGACTAATTTGATTAAATGTTTCTCAGTTGCCTTTTTATAAAAATCGTTTCTTTAAAAAAATAATTCTGGGATTCGAAGCCAAATGAAAATGCTAGTCTCTTTCTGCCGCTTCTGACCATTATTAGAAATGTTAATACTTAGTAGTTTTTTTCCTCAGACGACGGCGACAGCCTTATAGTTTTCAAGGTTAACTACTCTTATTATACTTACCTGTGATACCATTATTACTACAAGAAGGTTGGTAGTTAGGGAATTCGGTAGTATCATTCAGCTGACTTGTTGCTTGATTATATCACTCCTTTCCCTTAATTGTCTGTCTACAACAATAAATGAATCAATTTAAAACTTTTTTCTTTTGCTCTTTCTTGAGACGTCTCCTCTTGTATCAATTTAGTTGAAAGTCGACGGAATGCCATCGATCTTTCGCATCGGTGTTAAATCAATCCCATTATCCATCCATTAATAAATAGCATTTTCTTGTATCGTATTTTTAGTAGCTATATTTATATTTTTTTCTCGCGAATGACAGGATATTAATTTCTGGTAGTTTTTTTTTTTTTTTTTTTTTTTTTTTTTTTTTTCTTCAGTCTCTAAATCCATGTTTTCTGAATTCTAGTTTGAGTTCGCTTTCTAAATTTCAGTTTTTTTTTTTATCATACCTGTAGTAGGGAAACTTTTCTAACCTTGAAACGCTTACAAAAGAAATAGAATTTAATTTAAGATTATTATTATTTAAAGTCCTAATTATCACGACTTGTAAATTTCCCCCTTTCCTTTCTTTGTAAGGAAATCTATATAAAGCTTCTTTTTTTTTTTTCTTCTCTTTTAATCTGTTTAGTTTTGGGAGGTGATATCAGACGAGCATGGCATTGACCCCACTGGAACCTACCATGGTGATTCTGACTTACAGCTAGAAAGGATCAACGTCTACTTCAACGAAGCAACAGGTGCGGATTTTTCTTATTTAAATATTAACTGACAATTGATATTCAATCTTAGTTCTGTTTTTTTGACAACAGTTTTGATTTTATTTTTAACCAGGTGGTAAATATGTACCTCGTGCGATTTTGGTTGATCTTGAACCCGGAACGATGGACTCTGTCAGATCTGGTCCCTTCGGTCAGATATTTCGGCCAGACAACTTTGTATTTGGGCAAAGCGGTGCTGGTAACAATTGGGCCAAGGGTCACTACACAGAAGGGGCCGAATTAGTGGACTCCGTGTTGGATGTAGTGAGGAAAGAAGCTGAAAGCTGCGACTGTCTACAGGGATTCCAGTTGACCCATTCTCTTGGAGGTGGCACTGGTTCCGGTATGGGAACACTGCTGATCAGTAAGATCCGAGAGGAATATCCCGACAGGATCATGAATACCTTCTCTGTGGTTCCTTCACCAAAGGTCAGTGGAGAAAAGAAAAAATTCACCGCTATTCTGTTTCTGATTTCATCGATTTATAAATAAATTCTATTTTTTCCCCTTGTATTTATTTCTTTTTGTTGTAATTTATTACAGGTGTCCGATACGGTAGTCGAACCTTACAACGCCACATTGTCTGTCCATCAATTGGTGGAAAATACTGACGAAACTTACTGCATCGACAATGAAGCTCTTTATGACATTTGTTTCCGGACCCTAAAACTAACCACTCCAACTTATGGTGATTTGAATCACTTGGTATCTGCCACAATGTCCGGCGTGACCACTTGTCTGCGCTTCCCTGGACAACTGAATGCTGATTTGCGTAAATTGGCTGTCAATATGGTCCCCTTCCCTCGTCTGCACTTCTTCATGCCCGGATTTGCACCCCTTACTTCAAGAGGAAGCCAACAGTACCGAGCCCTCACTGTTCCTGAATTGACCCAGCAGATGTTTGATGCTAAAAACATGATGGCAGCTTGTGATCCCCGCCACGGGCGATACTTGACTGTGGCGGCAATGTTTAGAGGGCGAATGTCAATGAAAGAGGTGGATGAACAGATGCTTAACGTACAAAACAAGAACAGCAGTTATTTCGTCGAGTGGATTCCAAATAATGTGAAGACAGCTGTCTGTGATATTCCTCCCCGCGGCCTGAAAATGTCTGCTACTTTCATTGGTAACAGCACGGCCATTCAAGAATTATTCAAGCGAATCTCTGAACAGTTCACAGCCATGTTCAGGCGAAAGGCTTTCTTGCATTGGTACACGGGAGAAGGAATGGACGAAATGGAATTCACAGAAGCAGAGTACAACATGAACGACTTGGTTTCTGAATACCAATAATACCAAGATGCTACAGCCGAAGAGGAAGGGGAATTCGAGGAGGAAGAAGAGGAAGATGCTTAACTTTTTTTTTTTTTTTTTTTTTTAATTTACTTTCAATAACAAAAACGAAAAAAAAAAAAATCCATCCAACTTTCTTTTCCCTATTTCAGATTATTTTATTCCCCCTCCCCTGAAAAAAAAGACATTCCATTTCATTTTTTTTCTTTATTTCCTGGAAACATTCTGGTATCGTCACTTAACGACCGAAACAAATTTCGCACTCCAAATCCTGAATTACCTCCCTTGTACTTTCTTCATATTCTTTTTTTTTTTTTTTTTTTCTCCTTAAATAATAAAAGATAATCTAACACATGTGACGAGAGTACTTAGTTTAGGAGTTTTGAAAAATGATGTATAATGTTCAAAATGCAACACGATTTTATTTATTTTAACTAATATTTAGACATACACAGGTGAAAATGTCCTTGTTTAGATTTTCTGGTAAGATCCCCCCCCCTGCACATGCATTCCTTCATAGATGATGGGAATAATTCTTGTCTAGGACCACTCTGGTTTCGTAGCTTTTTTTTTTTTTTTTTTTTTTTTTGCAGTGTTTCCGCCGAGATTCGATACTTTGGTGTGTATATTGCCATCAAAACTACTTATCTGCTGAAAGTTATTGACTCACTGCAAAAATCATGATGGAAATTACATCGGCCTATAACGGGACATTATGCATTGTGTGCATCCAGGACCTAGAAATGTCAGTTGCAATTTTTAGGTTCACAGGTGATCAGACACAAAAACTAAATATCTGATGACTCCAGCTGTGACCGTTATACTTCCATCCATTAATTGGCATATAAAAATATTTAAGAATTTCTGCAAATATCACACATCATTTAATTTCCTCATGCCTTTTAGTAATTTCAGATAAACGTCAGTAAATTTTTTTTTTTTTTCTCCTTTCCTCAAATGAGGAAAAGGAATATCTTGAGGATCCACCAAAAGTTTGATTTCTTGGAGGCATGGATTAAAAAAATCCTAAGAATATGAGGTTAGGTAAAGAAATCAGAGGTTCTTCATTATTTGGACTCAAATTTTCTTCTTTCTTTTTTTTTTCCCTGTGGATGTTAAGTGACAATACTCCCCCCCTTTAAATAAAACTAAAAAAAAAAAAAAAATCACACCAAGATTCTTGTTCTAAAAAAAAAAAAAAAATCTTGACTGATGTAAAGTATTGAATAAAACTGGAAACTTGTAAATTTTATTTTGTTAATGTCGGCTCCTTTATTTTAATGTACCTTAAGTTTTGATCACGTTAATCGAATTGAAAAATGAAGGGAAAAACGAAATGAAAATGTAGCCTGTTGAGGAACATCAAAAAAAAAAAATGGAAGGAGCAGAATGTGTAATGGCTAGGAAACAAGCTCTGTCAGCAAAAGAATTCATTGAACATGTTCACTGCAAGACAAACGGGAGATAAGTCATGCCACAAAAAGTCTAAATATTTAGTTTTAAATTTTCATTCTTACTGGATCAATATTAAAGACTTTCGTAGGCGATTAAGAAAAATAATTTAGCTGTCACAAATTTGTATTTGAGTGGGAACTAAAAATGAAGTAAATATTTTCTGAATTTCTAGTTATTTACACTTAGGTACATTCACTAATTCGGTACACCTAAGGTTTAAAATGAAAAATCTTCTGAGCTTTCATTGAAAGCTAAAGGATTAAAATTACTATTTTCCTAAGCAAAATACTAGGTTTTTCAAATTGAAATTCTATTACCTGGAGTCAATCCATCTAAAAGTAGCTGATTAGTGTTCCAATCTTTCATTGCAATGGATTTTTTCCTTTATTAAAAATCTTTCAAAAAATAAAATACTTTCCTGAAACTTTGGGGAATATTAAATTTAAAGTATAATTATTAATCTGATTTGAAAAAAAATTACTTATAAAAATAAATGGAATTTACACCTTAGTACTTCAGAAGCACTTGTCAAGTGATTTATGAGGTGCTGACATGTTTGTTCTATGAAGACTTGTATATTAAAACATTTAAGAAAATGATTGGTGAATGCCTTATATACAAGTACTCAGTATGTTGGGAGTATTCACCGTAATCTAATTTTAGCAAAGATGTGATTAAATTTACTATCAAGATTATATTTTAGCGATTTTATTTAGCTTTTCAGACCTAACGAGGACATAATTTTAAAAAGATCTCTGAATATGTATTTATAAAAGCTTATCAAGGAGTCCTGTGTTTAACAAATTTGGAGGCCGGAATTTGATTTCTAAAAATTTCATGAAATTAAAAAAAAAAGTGATAAGCCCGGAAAATTTTAATCCAACAATTTAATTTTTGCAAGATTTCTAAATTAATGTATTACCAGAAAAGGTGCTAAAATTCACATACCCAAGCTCTGTTACACAGCTGATGTATTTAAAAAAAAAATGTAAGGCGTCTTAAATATTTTGATAAAACTTTCGTCATGGTATGCTCCTTTTCCGATAAATTAGTAGAGGTACCTACTTTATATTTAGACAGTCACCTTTTATCACAAAGATGCCTTTAGGTGTATATTGATAGGGATAACCTACATAAAATGGCTGCTTCACTGCCAGATGCCAACACACTTCCGGATTTTCGCATTGATCTAACGAGGGAACCGAAAATGGAATGTCTGTTCAATCCTTTTGTGAGAATCTTTAAGAACCAATTAAAAGCTTCTACTTAGAAAATATCTAACTTAAAAGAAAATTATCTAGTTACTTGCTTGGTAAAAAGATCTTGGCATTAGGATGGAAACTTAGGTCGTCATACCATAGGAGTCCTATTAGGAGATACACATTTGCAGTAATTATTTCTACAAAGATTTAAACTTTTACGCATTCATGACTTCTGATCATTAGTCAGATTAGCCTACCTGTGGTGGTGGCAATCTCTCTCCCCCCAGATGCGATAAGGGTCAAAGGGAGATAATTGCGTAAATAGCTTTTTTATTTTAAAAGAAATATGACAAAATTTTGCAATAATTATAGTATTTCATCTTATTTAAAGGAACTTACAATCGAGAACATTTTGATGACGCATTACTTGCTTTTAGGGGGGTTAGCTAGTTCTTATTTTAGAGCTGCTCAGTTATTATTGCTTGCCCTGTTTCCATTTAGAGTACACACTGCCCAGTAAAGGCATTGAACTCAGTTACTGTTACCAAGTTCGTAAGCAAGCAACAACTGAGCAGCACTAACTCGACAGTTAAACCAGAACAATCTGCCTCTAAAGATTACAGTTCAAAATTCTCTGAAGGTTATAGGATTGATAATATAAACATTTCCTACATTTGTATATTTATCAAGGGGATAAAGAAAAAATTAAGCTATACAGCAAAATTGAGATCTATTGAGGAATATCAATTTTGCAGGCAACTAATCTATTAAAGCTTTAAACAAGATTAGTGTGCAAAATTTTTATTAACTACCTTAAGTTTGGAGAAAATCCAAAGAATGACCATTTGAGATGACTTAATTCAAAGTAAATTGAAGTTAAAAAATAAGATACCTATTTCATATTTATTCAGAATATGATGAATCTATTGGTTAAGAAAGCTTGTGACCACTACAAATAAAGAATTGAATTTCAAATTTGATTCAATTCCAGATTAGATATTAAAAAAAGCAACCAAAGAAAAAACCTGAAAAGTAGGTACAGATCAAGTCACTAGTTAACTTTTTCTCAAAAGGGGAGAATATTTTGCTTGTGAGAAGTGACAAACAAGTAAAATCAACTAATAAACTCGATTCAGAATTGTTATGTAACAAGTTTTAATTTTCATGAAGACAAAAAGACAATTTTTTTTTTTAAATTTTAAAGTTCCAGCAAAGTGGAATGGCAACAAGAGTCAAAATAGCTTCAGAGATCTTTTACTGAATTCAGTTTATTCAATCCCCTTTCCATTGGTTTCTTTAGACTAAATTTCCTATCTTTTTCTTCTCAGTGCTACATTCCAAGTATTGAATCTAAATTTCTTGCATTTTCTAAGTTTGGAATGAATAAATTGTCATAGTTAAGCTTTAGACTTAATAAAAAGAATCACTTGGCTTAATAAAAAGAAAAAGCCAATTATTAAGGCTATTTTCAGGCAAGTCAGCCGAGATGGCACCCAAAGATTTCGCTTTTTGAAAGAAATTTTAAGACAATCACCTGATCTACTGAAATATAGTGTTGAGAAGAACAAAGAAAAAAAAAAGTTAGTCTAAAACGACCCAAAGAATTCATTTTAAGTTTGACTTTATTACTCTAAAGACAATCAAGATAGAAATCTCGTTAGTAGTAATAATTAAAAAATTAAATGTCTAATTTACAAATGCTTAATACAGGTTTTAAAAGTCCCCCAACTCAAATAGCCAGTAGCAGCAACATATGTAATTTTGACAAGAGCTGAAACATGCACATTGAAATGAAGCAGAACAGTGAAATGAGATGCACCAATGGCAGTACATTGCCTTTTATTAAGACAAAAAGGCAAAACATTATCTCTATATACTGGCACTTTGCAACTTAGATTCTTCTTTGAATAAATTTAGGGATTCAGTTATAGGCATTATATAGTCAAAACAATCTGCAATTAAAAAGCCTACCTGTAAAAAAAAAAAAAAAAAAAATACAAAGAGAAAGAGCTTTTATCTTTGAAAAGATAAAAAGTGGGCTAGGGGAAGGAAAAGGATTTTAATAAGACAAAAAGGTGAGAGAGAGAGAAAGTGGTAAGTAACAAGCATACCAAACTGGTATAAGAGGTCTAGAAGAGTCATACATGTTAAATAGCATGTATTTCACAAGGTTACTGATAGGGTTAGCAGAAACTGGCCATAGTTAATAGCACTTGCTTATAGAGGCAAAATAATAAATATATTGAGTTTATGATTAGCCTGTCCAGTGGTCAAGGAGTAAACATTTGTTCCAAATTAAGAGGTTTGCTCAAGTTTAACAAACATACTTTACTATAAATTTCT